AGATGGTCTTATTTCTTAATTTCACCACAAAGCGGCACTGAAGCAATTTATTTGCAGATGTCACTTTAAAGTGAGCCTTGCAAATGCTTTGTGACAGCCAGCTATTGGTTTGTTTTGTGAAGCTCGAGTCACTGTTATTAATTACTCCTTGAATAGAGAGTAATGACCCTGTTAAGGTGTGTGTGATCTATTTCCATGCAGTAGGCCGGTGGCCCCCGACTCTCTTACTAAGCAAATGTGCTTTTTATGAAGCGCATCTCTTCTTCGCAATTCTAAATGTTCCTTGAAAACAGCTGGGTATAAAAATGAAGATCACAGCCTGCAGTCCAAAGAGCGAGGAAGCCATAATTTACCGAAATGACCAAACAAAGGCTGAAGTTTACGAGCAGTTTACCTCAATTGGGATATTTCATAGCCCCTTAGATGCTGTCTAGCAACCTTGAAGATATTTCAGGTCTCTCTAGACTCAGCGGGAGGGGCCAATGAAATTTCCAATAAGTTGCAAAGCTACATGTGTTTAGTCATTTAACCTTAAGAGTCTCTACATGTCTACTAAAAAATGAGTCCCAATGAGTTCAGCAGACCTTCCACCCACATGCAAGTGGATTGCAGCCTTAATATCAGGATTGTACCATGAGCTCTGAGGTCTCCTGGCCAGGTATAGGACCCCTGGATGGTTAAGTCCAGTTGAATTTGATTATGGGGTGTGGTGCTCATCTCTGCTTTCAGGCCAAGGGAGCCGGCGTTTGTCCGCAGACAGCTTTCCGGGTCATGTGGCCAGTATGATTAAACTGCTTCTGGCACAACGGAACACCGTGATGGAAGCCAGAGCTCACTACAAGCCATTTACCTTCCTGCTGCAGTGGTATCTATTTATCTACTCACGCTGGTATGCTTTCGAACTGCTAGGCTGGCAGGTGCTGGGACAGAGCAATGGGAGCTCACAATGTCGTGTGGATTCGAACTGCCAACCTTACAATCAGCAAGCCCAAGACCAGTTTAGACCACAGTGCCACCCGCGTCCCTTTCCCAGCCAAACCCAACTGGAGTCAATGAAATGTTCACTAAGATGGTTTGAGAGCTATTACTACCATCACCACCATCATGAGTGGCAGCCAGGGAGGGATGTTGCAGTGACATCTGTCACCCCATTAATGGTGGTGCTGCTTGACAGCAGGGAAAAAGCTGGGAGCAAAGCAGCAGTGAGGCTGGTGCTGTGCAAACCAACCCCATTGGGTTCCATCGTGTAAAAAAGAAACCAGAGAGCAGGTTGTTGCAGAGGTAACTTTGCCATTCGTTTTAACCATGGTTAAGTGGGGTGGGGTGACTCTTAATCCTGCCCCCTACTCTTTCTTCCCCCTTGGTTTGTGTGATCCTATAATTTCTGCTGCTCAGAATTTCCCCTTCCTTTTGTATTCAGCACCAACTGTGAGTAGTATTAATGCTAGCCATTGGTTTAGTTTAAGTCTGAAACTCACTTCCACCTATGGTTTCAATTTAAACATGGCTTGAAGTTAAGGCTGGATCTAGACACATCAAAGACACATCAAAGAAGCGTTTCCATTAAACACTTCATAAAGGGAAATCCCGTTGGTAAAAGACGGGACTCCACAGCGCCATCTGGTGTCACAGTGATATATAAAACGGTTTTTCTTTACTAGTGTAGCGGAGTCCTAACTTTGGTTTGTGTTCAGCTCGGTGCAGATATAACCATAAGCCGAGTTAAGAAAGGAAGGGAGGGATTTGAGTGAAAGAGGCAAGGGGGAAATAAGAGAATGGACTGTGCAAGCCTGAAGGGTGGTCCTTAACCCAGACTTTGCCCTCCAGGTGTAACTCCCATCAAACCCAGCCTGCACAGCCACAGTAGCTAGGGCTGATGGGGAGCTGTAGTCCCAAACATCTGGAGGGCATCAGGTTGGGGACCGCTGTCTTAGCCACTGTTGTGAAATGTTAGGGTTGCATTGAGCAACTGCAGAATATTTAACAAGTCCAAGGGCACGTCAGACTTTTTTGGTGGAGAAAAGCTTTGCTTATGCTCCAGCTCTTCAGAAACAAAGCATGAATAATGCAGGAGGCTCAAGTAGAATTGTGCAGAAAACACAAACCCATTCATGTCTAAAACAAACACCAGCAATTCAGTCGCTCATCCTCCCCCCCTTCCCCCCCCGTCAACAGCATATAAATAAGATTATCCGCCTCCTCACACGAGCCCCTTAAACGGTCCACTGAGTAGTTAGAGGTTCCATCATCGTGTCAATAAGATCACATCTATTTATCTATTTATTTCCAAAAGGGGTTGGTTTTTTTTGCATGGTATACCATCTTTTCTGAAAAGTATGTAATTGGCTTTGGGGTCAGATGGAAATCTCTAACTACACGCACCCAGCAAAAGATCATTAACATGTTTAAGTCCCTGATCTAATTTGAACATGACCACCCTGATGGTGCTCCTGGTTTCTCGTAGTTCTTATTAATTTATTTTTAAATACTCTTCTTAAGTAAATATCAAATACAAGACAGATTTTCTTAACAGGACGGTATTTCCTTTGTATTACCATACCGAAAGATTTATCGAAGCCAGGGGTAGCTAACTTGGAACCGTCCAGATGTTGTGAGCTACAGTTCTCATTACTCCTGATTATTGGCTTATCAGTAATCTAAGACAGCTGGATGGCATTACTTTGGCTTCTCATGGCCTAAATGTTGGCAAGTAAAGATTTTATATATGTACATCTATGTACACCACTTGAAATGCCACTTGCCTTTCAACCCTACCAACCAGAACTTCCCATTCTGTTTACTCTTACCTGCATGATGAAGCAACATGTCCACCATTCATAGCAGAATCATAGCACTGTAGAGTTCATTTCACACAGTATATAATAACTATGTAGAATTTGTTGCCACGAATGTTTGCTGAGACCAGAATGGTGTAGTGGCTAGAGAGACTCAGACTAGGAAAACCCAGGTTCTAAACCTTGCCTAGTTATCTCCCGCTTGGACTACTGCAACACGCTCTATGTGGGGCTACCTTTGAAGTGACCTGGAAACTACAACTAATGTGGCAGCTAGTCTGGTGACTGGGCCGCCGGGACCATATATCACTGGTCCTGAAAGACCTACATCAGCTCCCAGTATGTTTCCAAGCAGCCCAGTATAGCCGAAGGAGCGTCTCCACCCACATCATTCAGCCTGGACACTGAGGTCCAGTGCCGAGGGCCTTCTGGCGGTTCCCTCACTGCGAGAAGTGAGGTTACAGGAACCAGGCAAAGGGCCTTCTCGGTAGTGGCACCTGCCCTGTGGAGTGCCCTCCCATCAGATGTCAAGGAAAGAAACAACTATCTGACTTTTAGAAGACATCTGAAGGCAGCCCTGTTTAGGGAAGTTTTTAATGTTTGATGTTTTATCGTGTTTTTAATATTCTGTTGGGAGCTGCCCAGAGTGGCTGGGGAAACCCAGCCAGATGAGTGGGGTATAAATAGTAAATTATTATTATTGCTAGCCATGAATCTCACTTGTGTGATTTTAGGCAATTCCTAACTTCTCAGTCTAGCCTAACTAATGACATAGTTTTGGCAGGAAGGAGAGAAGCAGGACTTTTTTTCCAGCTGGAACTCTCCGGAACTCAGTTCCGGCACCTCTCAGGTAGGTGCCATTATCATTCCAAGAGAGTGAGGGAGGTCTTCATAGTGAGTTCCGGCACCTCTTTTTCTAGAGAAATAGCACTGGAGAGAAGCATGTATACTGTACATATACTGTCTTGATCTCCTTAGAGGAAAGGTGGGGTATAAATGTATGTAATAAATAAATGACCTGACAATGTCATAGATCAGGGATGAGGAATCTGTGGCTCCCCAGATGTTGTTGGACACCAAATCCCATCAGCATGGCCAATTGCCAGGGATGATGGGACATGTAGTCCAACAATATGTAGAGGTCCACAGGTTCCCTATCCCTGGTTTACATGGCTTCAAAGAGGGAATGCATGGAAGATGAATCTATTAGTAGCTACTGGCTATGCAAGCTCAAGGTCCAGAGACTAGATGGGAGCAATGATGGAACAAAATGACTCTTCATGCCCTGTTTGTATGCTTCGCAGAGGCACCCTGGGAACTGCAACACTGGATTATGGACCACTGGTCTGATCTAGCGAGGCTCTTATGACCTTTAAAATAATAGTAATAACAATCAGATATGCAATAATAAACAGGAAAGGAAACATAAAGCCCATAATCCATGACATAACTTACAAATCAAGAATGTCAGTCAGCAAACAATTCATTCATCATCTAGGCTACCATTAGCAGCTAATCATAGTAAATACTTCTATCAATCTGGCAAAAAGAACTCTAATTATGTCTAAATAAATTCATATCTGTTTTGTTTTTATTACTTCTAGCATATCTTGTCTTATAATAATTATCTTTTCCTTCCAGTATTGAGCAAACTTCTCATGTTGTTCTAATTAATCTTTTGGCATAGTCTGTCCTTCCAAAAGTAGTTTCAAAGATGAAATCTTAAACATCAGTACTCTGTGCCAAACATTACTTTTCCATTCTCTTCGGGATGGTAAACCTATCTATTTATAATATCCAGCCACTAACATTTGGTAGAAGCATAATTCATTTTAAAAACCCACAAAAACTTTCATTTTCTACTAAGCTTTCTACCTTCCTTAATAAAAACAACCATATATAGGGTTCAAAAGTAACTGTTATAATCTGAATAGTCCCAATTATCATAACCCAGAGTTATATATATATATATATATATATCTTCACACAGCCATCCAACATGTCAAAAATATGTTAAGCTCTCCCCAAACACACTACGAATATATTGGGTGGATTTCAACATAGTGGTAAGTGAGGTATGCATGTGCAGAATCCACTCTTGCAATGAGATTCCCCCCCCCACCTTCTCCTGTGTGCCCTCTAAATCTATTCTGGAGTTTCCCCCACTCTTCAGCGCATTGGACTGTTGGTTTCTTTTTCCCTCACTGAGCAGCAACTGCAGTCACAAGACAGGTGTTTACATTCCACAGTCTGTACTGTTGGAGTTTCTCACGGGAAAGGGAGACTGGATGTGACGTACACTGGTTTCCTGTTTTTCACTCTGTGTTTCTCTCCAAGCTGTCGAGGAGAGAGGATGCATTTTTCTGCTCCTGCAGAGGCAAGATGTCTTTCTGTAATATACCAGCTTTGAACTGTAAATAAAGCAATATAGAGTATGTACCACGTATTACTCATCCTTCCGCTGGCCACGACAGACTCTGCTTAAATCAACACGTGGTTATGGGCTCCAGAGGTCGAATCGGAGTGCCGGCAGATCGGAATGCAGAGGGACGGATCGGAACGGAATCTGCTCTGCGCGTCGAAGTGATTGATGAGGTATGTGCTACTGCTCCGGGCAGCCTGCCAGCTTCAAGTTAATGGCTTTATGGCTGGACTTTGAACTTTTAAAGCCGGTTTTGCCGGGAATAGGCAAAAGGCTCCCAGGCACAAGTCACTATGCTGGGGAAATCGAAAGTAACTTTTAAGTGTGCTTTGTGATAAGGCAGCTGCAGCAGTGACGCAGCAAGATTTAAAGCAGCATATGACGCTGAAGGCTAATGCCAGAGTCATGATGGCCCTTCAGGATGCTTGTGGGATTCCTAAGCTCAACAAGAAAAATTACAGCGACTGGGTTCAGTATGCAGAGGCAATTCTGCGGAAAGAGGGTTTGTTTGAGGTGATTACAGAAACCCCCAGTTCCAGTTACAGATGCATGGGAAGCTAAGGATTCCAAAGCAAGGGGAACTCTTACATTGATAGTATCCCCAGAAGAGCTCTGTCTATTGCGTGATAAGACCTCAGCCAGAGAAATTTGGGACGCTCTGAGAGAGGCTCACTTAAGGACAGAAGCTGGATCCACTATGTTTTATTTTAACAAGCTGCATAATATGGCTCTTGCTGAAGGTGGAGATGTGCGTTTACATCTGATGCAGATGCAAAATCTGAGACATGAGCTGCAACAGAGAGGACTCAACTTTCCAGAGGCTGTGTATTCTTTCATGATACTACAATCTTTGGGTTCAGGTTGGGAGTCTGTTGCAACCCAGATTGCTGTGCAACCAACTGCTCAACTGACAGTGGACTTTGTTACTGCCGTGATTTTAAATGAAGCAGATCGCCAGGGTGCTAGCTGCATGGGCAAGGGAGAGTCTTCACAGACGTCATCCCATAGTGCAGTGGAACCACCAGATGGCGCCAAAGCTTTGAAGGCAGTCAAATGCTACTCGTGTGGACGTCTAGGCCATATGAAGAGGGAATGCAGACATCCCAGGGCCAAGACAGAGCAGCGCAGCGAAAGCTCATCGCGCGGAAAAGGCCGAGGCAAAGGCAAAGGTCCGGTGTCTAGGACAACGCAGCACAAGGCTATGGTTTCACGCTTCACTCCAAAGGTTGCAGAGGTCCAGAAGACGTCTAGATCTTTCTTCGTTGTTGATTCAGCGGCCACCCACCACATGTGCAACGATAAGAAACTGTTTGTGTCTTTTACACCGCAGGAAGGTGCGATTCACCAGGCGGATGACCACACTATTCCCAGTAAAGGCTACGGAACTGTTGTTCTTCAAAGTTTGGACTTATCGATACAGAATGTGCTTTACGTGCCAGACGCCAAACATAATCTGCTCAGCGTTGGACAGCTGAATGAGCGGAACATTGACGTTTCCTTCAAGAACAAGAAGTGCATCATCACAAAGAAAAATGATTATGTATTGCATGCAGAATATGTTGATCGTTTGTTTGTTTTGTATTATGATGATGTGGTGCAGGATGACACTTGTTGCATTGCAGGTTCTAACAAAAGTTTGCATGCAGAATGTATTCACGATTTTCATCGAAGATTTGGTCATTTGCATTTTGAGGCAGTATCTAAAATGCCTGCCTTGGTAGAAGGTATGACTATTAAACCCTGCAGGTACCACATGAAGTGCAAAGCATGCGCAGCAAACAAGGTGAAAATGGCTGCGAAAGGTAAGGTGTCTAGTAGGAAAGCTACAGAACCATACCAGGTTGTTCATGCTGATTTGGTTGGTCCACTATCGCCCTCTTTGGGTGGAAATAGATACTTCATGGTTCTCATTGATGCATTTTCTAGATATATTTTTGTGTACAATCTCAAGCAGAAATCGGAGGCTTTTCCTAGGTTCAAGGAATTCTGTGCTTGGTTGGAAAATGTGCATGGTAAGAAGATAAAGACTCTTTTCAGTGATCGCTGGGGAATTCACTTCTCAGCAGTTTGAAGCTTTTCTGACTGAGAAAGGAATTCAACACGATTTGTCTAGTCCTCGCTCGCCATGGCAGAATGGACTTGCGGAACGGGCAAATCAGACATTGCTTCAAGGATTAAAAACCTTGCTGCATGATGCCAATCTTCCAGAGAGTTATTGGGCGAATCTCTCTCGTGTTTTGTTTACAGTTACAATCGCAGGTTATCTTCAGCGATTGGATGTACCTCTATGAGAAGATGTTTGGCAAGAAGCCATACATCAAACACATGAAGATTTTTGGTTCTGACATGTGGGTTCACTCACCACAAAACTCCAAGTTAGACAAGCGTGGATTGCATGGTATCTTTCTAGGTTATCAGAAAGGGTCTTACAGAATAATGATGACTGACTCTAAGACAATTAAGCTCACGAGAAGTGTTGAGTGCAATGCAAAGTGGGGGAGAATGTGGGAATTTTCCAATGTTATCCTGATGACGGTGATGAGACTGAGGATAGTCAAAAGCAACCACAACAGCCCACACCCACTGATGAAGGTTCTGAGTCTGAATCTGAAACTGAATCGGGTGATTCAGAGGATTTCAAGAGTGCGAAAGCCTCTATGCGACCCTCTGAAAGCTCTGATCAAGAATTAGAGGAACCATTGTTCACAATAGGTCGTTTTTCTCCTAAGAAGGAAGAGGAGAGTGTTGAAGACTTAAGGCTAATTCGTAGGTCACAGAGAGCCACAAAAGGCAAACCTCCAAAGAGATTTGCTGATGAGTTTGCTGAGATAGCAGTAACAGCTGTTAAAAGCTCCAAGAAGGTATTTGAACCTTCAAGTTTCCAAGAAATCCAGGGTTTGGATTCAAAGGAAGCTGAGCCATGGTTAAATGCCATGAAGGCTGAGCTTGATTCCTTAGAAAGGAACAAAACATGGGAGCTAGTTCCAGTAGTTCCAGGAATGAAACTGCTTGGAAGCAAATGGGTCTTCAAAGCGAAGACAGATCAAAATGGCAAGATAGTCAGACACAAAGCCAGATTGGTAGCCAGAGGTTTTGCACAGGTACCAGGTGAAGACTATCACGAGACCTATTCACCCACAGTGAGATATGAAAGCATTAGGCTTATGCTTAAGCTAGCTGCAGAGGAAAATCTACACATTAGTCACCATGATATTAATACAGCTTTTCTGTACGGATCTCTAGATGAATCACTTTATATGCTTCCACCTGATGGCGTACAGGTAAAACAGGGATTTGTTTGTGCTCTGAAGAAATCTCTTTATGGTCTCAAACAAAGTGCACGGTGTTGGCACACAAAACTCACTGAAGTATTGTTTTCTCTAGGTTTTCAGCAAGGGAAAGCTGATCCATGTGTATTTGTCAAAGAGGAGGGGCAAAAGAAACTGTACTGTTTGTTTTATGTTGATGATTTATTATTCTTTTGGAAAGATGTTGCAATGTACAATAGCGCCCTAGCTCAACTGAAAGAGCACTTTGACATGAAAGATCTTGGTGAGGTAAACAACTACCTATCTCTGGAAATAGAGAGAGATCAAGATGGTAACATTCTAGTACACCAGTCACGGAAAATTGCTGATGTGTTAAGCAAACTAAATCTGATGAATGCTAACCCTGTAGACACACCGATGACAACAGGTTATCAGGTAGATGACACTGAAGAAGCATTTTCTGACACTACACTGTACAGGAGTGTGCTAGGCAAGCTAAACTTCATTGCCAGATGTTCAAGACCAGACATTGCTGTTAGCTGTAATTTGCTAAGCAGACAAGTCAACAATCCTAGTGTCAAGGATTGAAAGCTCTGAAACGCATAGCGCGGTATTTGAAAGGCACTATGCATTACAGACTGAGATTTAACAATCAGAAGTCTGGTGGTCTTGAGATATTTGCAGATGCAAGTTTTGGAAGTGACACTACAGACAGGAAAAGTACGTCTGGAGTTTGCTACATGTACAATCAGAGTCTGTTTGATTGGTCATGCAAGAAGCAAACAACAGTTAGCTTAAGTACTTGTGAAGCCGAACTGAATGCACTGTCTTATTCACTTAAGGATTGTGAATGGTTAGTACAATTGTGCAAAGATATGAAAATTCCTGTCAAATGTCCAATCCAGGTTTACCAGGACAACAAAGCATGTTTGGCTTTGCTGAAGTCTAAAGGTTGCAAGCAAAGCACAAAGCACTTGCAATTAAAGTTGCAGCATGCTAGGGAATGTATTCAGAAGGGACTCGTAACGGTGTCCTATATGCCAGGTAATGAAATTCCTGCTGATGTATTGTCCAAGATTGTATCAAGGGATCAACACTGTACCTATGTGCAGAAGTTGGGTTTGTACTGATATTGTGCAAACACGCTGCCCAGTGATGTTCACAGAAAGGGGGAGGATGTTGGTTTCTTTTTCCCTCACTGAGCAGCAACTGCAGTCACAAGACAGGTGTTTACATTCCACAGTCTGTACTGTTGGAGTTTCTCACGGGAAAGGGAGACTGGATGTGACGTACACTGGTTTCCTGTTTTTCACTCTGTGTTTTCTCTCCAAGCTGTCGAGGAGAGAGGATGCATTTCTCTGCTCCTGCAGAGGCAAGATGTCTTTCTGTAATATACCAGCTTTGAACTGTAAATAAAGCAATATAGAGTATGTACCACGTATTACTCATCCTTCCGCTGGCCACGACAGACTCTGCTTAAATCAACATGGACTACTGCAGTGCGCTTTACGTGGGGCTACCTTTGAAGGTGACCTGGAAACTGCAATTAATCCAGAATGCGGCAGCTAGACTAGTGACTGGGAGTGGCCGCCTGGACCACATAACACCGGTCCTGAGAGATCTGTATTGGCTCCCAGTACGTTTCCGAGCACAATTCAAAGTGTTGGTGTTGATCTTTAAAGCCCTAAATGGCCTCAGTCCTGTATACCTGAAGGAGCGTCTCCACCCACATCGTTCAGCCCAGACACTGAGATCCAGCGTCGAGGGCCTTCTGGCGGTTCCCTCATTGAGAGAAGTAAGGTTACAGGGAATCAGACAGAGGGCCTTCTCGGTAGTGGCACCCACCCTGTGGAACGCCCTCCCTTCAGATGTGAAGGAAATAAGCAGCTATCCTATCTTTAAAAGACATCTGAAGGCAGCCCTGTTCAGGGAAGTTTTTAATAGTTAATGCTGTACTGTTTTTAACACTCGATTGGGAGCCGCCCAGAGTGGCTGGGGAAACTCAGCCACATGGGCGGGGTATAAATAATAAATTATTATTATTATTATTATTATTATT